ACAATGCATGAGAAACAATGGGAGGTTATCTGCTGAGTCAATCCAAAGTAACTCAAAGCAGATACTAGATGGCTGTTGAGTAAGTTTTTTTTTTACACCTTTATTTTTGTATAATTTTTATTGGACTTTAGTTGTTTCACAATGTTGTGTTAGTTTCTACTGCGTAGCAAAGTAAATCAGCTACGCATATACATATGCTCCCTCTTTTTTATATTTCCTTCCTACCACAGAGCATTGAATAGAGTCCCTTGTCCTATACAGTAAGTGCTCCTTAGTTATCTATTTCATTTGTATTAGTTATCTATTTTATACATCAATCCCAATCTCCCAATTCATCCCACCACTACCCCCAAATTATGACAAATACCCAACTTTTAGCTTTAAATCTTCTGCATATCCTGCTTTCTATCCCCGTCTTTATAATGATTAAGTATAAATGGAAACCCCCTTATAAAGGGATTTATTATGTGTCAATCTCTTATAAACGTACTAATTCAATTCTCCACTTTCTGTTACAACTTGTAACATGTGACAAAAGTCATGCAACGTAATTTATGAGGGATGATTTAGTCTGAACTGATGAAAAATCTAAATTATGAATTGCCAGGAAAAATTCTCAGTCCGCAGTTTTCTAAGCACATCTTGAGGAAACCCCTTCCATGAGCCCATGTTAACCAGTGGGGGCAAGTCCTGTGGGCAACTCAACTCCATCCCATCTTTCATTTGAAATATTGGCAGGGCACAGACTCTTTCCCTCTGTACTGTCTAACCTTCTCCCCATCTTACAGAGTGAGTGTGGTAACATCATGCAATCCATAAAAATTCAAGAGGATATTTTTATTCTTTGACAGGTCATCAGCCTCTCTTGGTGGGGTTTATTATACCTAAGAAGTTCTAGCAAGTCCAATTTCTCCTTTCAAGGGAAATTAAATATAACATCCCAGAGGTCCCAATTATACTATGGTTAAAAGGAACATATGAATCAAGAAAGCCCTGGTTTTTCTAGAGGGAAATTCCTGTGTTCTTTTACAGAGGAAGCCTACTCCCAGATCCCTGGCATCCTAAATTTGAGGACAGTTTAAGTCAGACCTAAGTTTAGGTCATTGGCAGGGCTTCCTTGATGGATCAAACAGTCTTTGGAAAAGACCCTGATGCTGGAAAAGATTAGGGCAGGAGGAAAAGGGAGTGGCCGAGGATGAGATGGTTGGATGGCATCACCAACTCAATGGATGTGAATTTAAGCAAACTCTGGGAGATAGTGAAGGACAGAGACACCTGATGTGCTGCAGTCCATGGGGTCGCAAAGAGAGGGACACATGTAGTGACTGAACAACAGGTCAGAAGAGCCAAGCTCCCTTGGACTCGCTCACCGGAGACGGGAAATGAGTCACAATCTCCATAAATGTGGTTTGCATTTTATGGTGCTCTGTTAACATGCTTCAAATACTGATTGATGGGTCGTCTGACAAACATACTGAAATGTGATCTAAACAGTAAGAACTTGTTCTGATTACCAAACTGAGAGACAATGGAACAATGACATTTGCGATTTATTGGTGGCTTTTCTTTCCTGGCACTCACTCTGGTGATGAGGTGATCTTTGTTTATATGCATTATGAGGACAATCCTTTCCCAGGGATGTTTAAGAGTGTGTTTGTTTTGGATAATAATTTCAATGTTATGAGTTCAGCTAAGCTTACTACATTGTACAGCATGTTGAGAGAGCCATATATTTCACATGATTTTGTTTTTGTTTTTGTTTTAATCATGGGATAAAGACAGCAAATAAGTTTAGACTGCTTTTTCCACTGATTTTTCAAAACATATGAACAAAGTTAATACCCGGGAAGGCAGAAGGGCAGAACACAGACTATGATGCCAGGAAGAGCTAGTTAAACCCTATGTCTATCATTTGCCAAACGTGTTATAACAGGCCAGGCACCTAACTTATCTAAGGCTCAACTCTTCATCTATAAACTGGAGATATTATGAGCATGTGCTGCATAAAATTTATCTAGAGAAACAAATGCAGATAAAATAAATAAAATGCTTGTCATGAATTATACCTCAATAAATGTTATTATAGTAGTAATATTTCTACTTATTAAGAAGTGATACAGGATGTATACCCCCTTGATTAGATTAGTGTTGATCCAAGAAAATGTACAGAGGTTTGCAAAAGAAGGGTCTTCCCTGTTGGCTCAGATGGTAAAGAATCTACCTGTAAAGCAAAAGACCTGGGTTTGACCCCTGGGTTGGGAAGATCCTCAGGAGAAGGGAATGGCTACCCACTCCAGGATTCTTGTCTAGGGAATTCCATGAAGAGAGGAGCCCGGCGGGCTATAGTCCATGAGGTCACAGAAAGTCAGGCATGAATGAGCAACCAACACTTTACAAAAGAAGGCCTATAGAAAATGGACCTTTAGCAGAATAAATCTTTTCACCTGAAATAGGAAATGGAAAAAATCACAAATTTGAACATATCTTTTGAAGAACCCTTAGACCCTTTCAACTGTAACATTTGTATAAGAGAATGAAAGCATAGCCTTTTCTACTCATTTTAACAAATAATCTTTTCCTTTGAAGTTGTGCATTTTGAAGGTCTTTATATCAAGAGATTTGTTGCAATTAGCCAGGGCAATTACCACCCACTTTCTTGGACCCAATAAAGTGCTATGAGAACATTTTATAACAAATCTCCAGAGTAAATTAAAAACTAAATTAAAAAGATCAGTTCTAATTAGTTATAAGAAATAATAAGCTTCATGTGCAATGTTTTAGCAAGAACAAAAATAGATATGAAAGTATCACTGTGTAAGTATTAGAGTTCTAAAAGCCATGTAGGTCTCCCACAAGGCAGGCAGATTCTTTACTGTCTGAGCCACTGGTGAAGCCCTGTTAAGTATTACAGTTTTGAGTAAAAGCTAAAAGCTTACATTTAAAGAAGTATCATTGCAAAGACATTCGGCTAATATTTCACACAGTTTTATCTTTGCTTAAAATGTATATTTCTTTTCTGCAAAGACTCATTTTTCATAGTGAAATGTTACCATCTTAGGAGTAATGGAGCTTCTGTCTGACCACTCCACCAGCTCATCCTTTACCCCGACTTCTCGTGTGCCCAAGAAAAACATGTTTCTTGTTTGCTTCTGTTAAACTATTGATAATAGAAATTACTATTGCTGTATTATCTAAGTGTTTATTTTGTGTTTTCCCAAAAGGATAGACTCAAGTGGAAAATACACATTTAAACACACAACATTCACATTTTGAAGATGTTACTTGCAGCTGAAATCTCTAAAAAAAAAAAACCTCTAAAATTTAACTATACTGTAGTGTAAATGGCAACTGATCAACTTTCTGTTAGAGAAACTGAGGCCCAGAGTTTGAATGAAAGAAGTGAAGGCCAGTTTTCTTTCTTTCTGGAGCTCATAGCTGCTGACTCCTAAAACCTCTTTTTTCATTAGTAACCAAACAATGTAAATTAGAAACTTGCTTCATTCTAAAATTCACTTCTCATAAGTTAGTGGCACAGTACTATAAAATAAGGTAAAGATTTATTGCTAATTTTGTGTGTATAGTAATAAAAGAATTAGAAGGCTGAACGTAAGACAAATGTGAGTTGAATGGAAAGCAATTGAAAATGCATAGTTGAGACACTAAACTTAGTCAAGAGAGTGAAGATATAGCAAACCAAGCCAACTTAGAGGCAGTCTGTGGCCAATGTAACAAACTGATGCAGAATTCAATAAAAAGGTTTTCTTTGTTACCTCTTCTGGAATTTTTTTCAGATCCCAAACAATTATTAGACTATAGATCTTTTATAAAATGAGATCTATAAAGTTGTTACACAAATGTTAATTGCAAAAAGCCTATATTTTAATACATTCTTAGATAGTTCATATATGAACGTGTGACACACCATACATTGTATACAAAAAAAGATAATAGTTGAATTTTATTGTGGTTGCTGTTATCAATTCATGGTAAAAAGTAGTCTAAATATTTGAGAAAGTAAATGCATTTCAGTGAAAGATAAGAACAAACTGCATATGCAATATTATCTACCTCCTATCAATGTCTTATTCCATAAAAATAGGTATGTTAGGCTTCATATGTAAATATTTAGCACAAATACATTCTAATGACCCCACTTTTGTCTTAAGGATTGAATACACATTACATTTATATAAAGATGTTTATTGAAGCTCAATCGTAGCAAACATATAATTTTGGGTCAAAAGTATTAAGCAATGAATTTCACATATTATACAGAGAATAATCTGTGCTACAGAATTATAAACACCATATGAAGATAACAAGATAGGCTTTCTCGAAATTTTAAATTAGATTAAATAAGCCTGAAATATTGGACTAAATGCTAACATATGGAATATAAGATTTCCAAATGTTAATTTAGTTAACTCCCCTGTAGTACACACATTCTATTTTTATGTCTATTTCTGGCAGCAAAATAGGGAAATCACAAGACAGGACAAGGAGGCCATCTTGAGGTCACTCTAGAAAATGTGCATGTCCTTCTTACTGGCAGCACACACAATTTATGATTAAAAAAAAATACAACCTTTGAGCAAAGTTAATATTTCTAGGATAAAATATTGTCATTTTTCTTCAAAAACAAAATGGCAAAGTTTCTCAGAGCGCTTAGATTTACTTGAAAGCATCCTCCTCTCACTCACTCCCCGCGTCTGTCTGTCTCACACACACACACACACACACACACACACACAGACTACAAAGAAGCTGCTTCTTGCTGGCCGACAGAGATGGATAAAACTTAAAATAAGCATAAGACTGTACAAAAACGCTTCAGCAAAACTGTCTTAAATATTTTTCTACAGTTGTAAAACAAAAGCTTCCCACAAAGACCAGTCCACGCCCTTTGTGAATTCACTGTGTATCTACTTGGCCTCGATAGTTCTAGAAAAGTAGAAACTACCTTGAACCTGGGGTTTGGAGCCGCCCCACGTCTGTCTTTCCTATGCACTCTGAGTTACAACCGGACTCGCGGGACCATTGGCAGCATGCTCCGGCCCCTCAGCACCTTCCGTGGGTTTGGCACCTCCAGCCTCTTTCTCTCCTTCCAGAGTCTTCTCCAGGGCCTCCACGGGGCTTGTGCAGTTAGCATCCGGCTTAGCTTTGTCCACCTCGTTATCAAATTCAACCTTATCTTCTGGATGCTTGCTTTTCTTTACTTGTCCATTCTGGGCGGGATAGGTGCTAGCAATGACATCATACAGGAATTGGTATTGCTCCTAGCAAAGAGAAGAAGCCAGGGATTACACAAAAGAGGTTTATGTCCTTTTTTCTTCTCTTTTACATCAGATGAAAATGAACAAGACTTAATCATTTACTTGTGGAAGACTCTGGGTAACAGAAAACTATTCCCATGTGTTTTCATAAAAAGATTGTTTCAAATGACTCACTCTTCTTAGGGTTCTAAAGGACTGACCTTGTAGCCATGCCAAATCTGTGTTTGGTCCCCTTGCAGGCCATATGGGGGCATCTCATTCCTAAGCTTTTGCAAAGGAACCCATTTTGGAGGCCCATTCTCTTGGTTCATGCCTACATATCACTTAGCATACGATCCAGAGTCTTTCAGGAAGCCAGTCTGAGCCCCCTCGGGTTAAATTCAGTGCCCTCATTCATGTTCTAGTGATCTCTGTCATTTCACTCATGTGTTCAGTCATTCAATTGTGTCCAACTCTTTGCGGGACTGTAGCCCGCCAGGCTCATCAGTCCACGGAAATTTCTAGGCAAGAATGGAGAAGAAATGGGTAGCCATGTCCTTCTCCAGCAGATCTTCCTGACCCAGGGATCAAACCCAGGTCTCTTGCATCTCCTGCACTTGCAGGCGGACTCTTTACCACCGTGCCACCTAATAATTTCTCTATCATTTCACTTACGACATTGCTGAGTATCTGTCTGCCTTTTCCTCACATTAAACAGTGAGTCTCTTAATGGCAAAAGCACATAGTAGGCACTTGGTATACTTTTAATATCAATACATGCAAGGTCGAGGTCATGCACAAGTAAGAGCTGCCAGAGTTTGAGTGAGTGGTTAAGTCTGCACTGTGATGAGTGACTGACTCCCAGACCATCATCTGTGGTCTCCACACTCAGGACACAACTTGGGTGGATTGGAACAATGCTCACTCAACAGCCTCTCTGTACCCATGAAGCAGAGCAGGACCCTGTGGTCCTCATCCCCCACCCCCGACCCTGGTCCTCTGCTTGCCCTTGGTCTGTGGGAAGCCCTTAGTCAAAGAAGAAGTCTAATCAGAGAAGTGGGCAACAAAGGAAAACAGTCAGAGGAGGCCAAATAACAACAATGCGGCCAAGCACAGTCAAGGACCGTTAGTTCCTCGTCAAGGGCTGTAGATGATACTCTGAGCCACATCCTGTGAGCTGTCCTGTAGACACTGAATCCCCCGCCAGGTGGAGAAGCTAACCACGGGATAACCGGACTATAGCCACAATGGAAGCTGCCACAATTCTGAGAACTGGCCTCAGAGAAACGGGAAGAAATCAACCATGGAACTGAAGACTAACTGCATTTAAAACAATCAAGGCGATGCTGGTCAGACCACCGGTGAGCAGTCTGAAGACACCTGTGAGGGCTGACTGTGCTGCGTCTGCATGCAGTCCCCACCCTCAGCCTATAAAAGTCCTTGCCCTCTGATTGTCAGCGGATCTGGGGAGTCGGCTTTGGACAGGCGTGCACCTCCCCGCTGCCCCACCTGCCAGCATCCGAGATAAAGTACACTCTCCTTCCCACCAGCCCAGCCTCTTTATTGCACCTGAGTGGAGAGTAGCCAGACCTCACTTTCGGTTGTATCCACACCTCTTGGGAAACTGACTTTGCAGGCCCTCTGGACAAAAGGTGAGTCTATCCCACCCCTACACCTGAGCTGGCCTTGTGACTTGTTCAGCTAACAAAATGTAGGGGGAAACACGCGCCAGCCCCCAGCCTGGGCCCCCAGGGGTCTCGCTCTGCCTCGAGGAACTCTGTTGCCTTTATGGGAAGGGAACATGTCTGGACCAGAAGAGACATGTGATCCACACACCCCTGTTGCCACAGCTAAATGCCAGCCAACTGCCAGCCCAGGGGCGCTCGAGGTCCCTTTGGACAAGCCAAATCCCAGTGGACACACCAGCGGCAGCAGACACACGAGGGGGCCTGGCCCGGGCTGGCTGAGCCTGGCATGGGCAGCAGGACCACTCAGCTGATCAGATGACTGAATTATAAAAATGCCACCTTTCTTCAGTATCTAAATGCCGCGGGCGGTTTGCGACACCGCAACACAAATTGGTACAAGATTGAAAGTGGAGGGGTTGGGGGCGTTCATGAGCTTTTAAAAAAAGTGTTCTTCATGAACCCCCACCACACATCGCTAGCAAACTCCCATTAGGTCTCTTATTTATACTGATAACAATCCCATGTGACCCACCATGTAAAATGCGATTTTAAAAGAGAAGACTAGAAAAGTAAATAGAAAAGAAATAACAGAAAGGAGAGGATGAGAGGAGGGGGACGGGGTGGAAGGAGAGAGAAAAAGTACAAAGGCAAAAGCACGTTAAAAGCACTGATGTACACTTACCAAGGTAGGGACCATTCCTGGCCGAGCTTTGCGGAGCGACTTCACAGCTTGAAACACATCTATCACTTCTTCTGTGTCAGCGCTTTCCAAGAGGTTGAACAACGCGCAAAATATTCCTGTTTGCTGAGATCCATCTCTATAAAAGAAAGAAAAGATTTTAAAAATTCTACATTTTATGGAGAAAGTGATATTGGGATAAAAATCAAAAGACAGAGATAAGAATACACTCTTTGCTTCAGGTTCGCTATAATTATTTATTCCAGTCTCTCAAGAGCAGAACGCTTCTGCTAAATGCATGTTTTATGCAAACTTTTTCAACCTGGGAATATAACAGTCCTTTAGTTTAAAAACTTAGAACTTAAAAATATACTTTCTCCTGTTTAGAACTTTACTGATTACCATGCACTTTAATTTATATCTTAAGTTGTTAAGATACATATCATAAAGCCAATTTGATAGATGAAAATACTGAAATTAAGGGAAGATAAAGGCATGGCTAAAAACAGATGAAACCAGAAAAACTGGACCTGATATTCTGTAAATTACTAAACCATTTGCTTTCTCTCCTCTCTTCCGCCTCTCTAGTGCTTTTTTTTTCTCACAAACATTAACAATTCTGCACCAATAGAAAAAGGATACCTAGTCAAATTATTCATTAAGGAGAGGGCAGCCAAATCACTTATCAAACTGTGAGAGGCATGTAACCAAGGAATGTACAGTAGGTATTCATCTGTTCCCTAAGAAACACATACAGTTTTAAATACTAAACTTTCCTTCTTCAGTTTTCTTTCTATGTAAATTTTACCTTTGAAAACTCAAATATATGCCAAAAAGTAGTATTTGTTTAAGGGCTTGGTTGCAGTGTATGCGATTCTAATAATAATAATGAGGCTTTCTCAGAAAGCCTCATTTCTTTTAAGCACTTCACTAGATTTATATTTCTCACCTTACTTTACTATTTTAATTTCTAATTTAGTGTAATATTTTATGTAAATAGTTTATATCATTCATCCTTCTTTCAAACCTCTTATTTAAGGTGGAGACCTATCACAGATGAAACTTAAGTGTCTGCATAACATAAATTAAATAAAATCAAGTATTATTATGCATATTATTAAAATCTTTGCCTTTGGGGCTCTATTTAGGGAGTCAGGTGATGGGTTTCAAATCAAAGTTGCTAAGCATGAGATTTCAGTTAATAAATAACTTAAGATATATGTATTGGAGGCAAAACATTCAGTCCTCTGGATTCTACTGACAGCTAATAGAGTGGCTCAATGCACTTATAAAGGCAGAAATAAAATGTAACATCTATTCATCCATCTGTCCACGCATGTTTCCATTCATTCATTCATTCGGGACAGGTGACATTCTGGGTTCAGCATTAGGCACTGAGTCAGGGATTGCATACCACTGATATTAAGGGACTCGTAACCTAACATTACTGCAGTAAAATATAATTATTTCTACTGCATTTCCACAATAGTTACGCTGCTGGAACACAAGGGAGAGAGTGACTGACTCCCCAAGAGGCGTCCACTGCAGTTGTGCATTTTTAACTATCAGGAGAAATCGCCTTTAACAGGAGGTGTGAGCCAGGAGGTCAAGCACGACGTGGGTTTGGCACATATCCCGTGAAACCCCACCGACCTGCAGTGGACGAGAAGAGGCACATTCCTGTGATATTTAGTCCCTTCGGCAGAATTCTTCTTGGGAAGTTTTTGTTTGAGATTCTGGATCATCAAGACCAATTCTTTGGGTTCTGCGGGCAGCTCTTCCCCATTCCAGTTATTAAATTGGTACTGGTACACCGTTCGTGGATCTTTCCTCTAAAACCAGGGGAGGGAACATGAATTCAAGGGAGAAACTCAGCGCATTCGATAAGTTGATTGTTACTTTTCCCTCCCAGTTACTTTCATTTAAATCATTAAAAAAGCTCATCCTGAAAACATTATATAGAGAGTTGCTTCGCTCTCATAGAGCAATGCATCTTAGTTTTTCAACCAGATCAATTACACCAAAGACACATACTCCTGAAATTGAGCGTGTACCTTGGAATGTCTCAGTTCAAAGGCACGAACGGTGTACGCTGAAGATTTGTTGGTGTCCTTCATGTGAACTTCCACATCTCCGTAGGTTTGCTTCCCTTCCTCCCAGTACTGAGCACAGGCTTCCTAGATGAGAAGGAACGTGACTCAGCATCAGCTGCCCAGGGGCCCTGTCAGCTTGGCAACACACTCGGAGCGCCAGCGCTCTCCCCTCGGCTCTGACTCGGTCCTCTTTCTCTCTCTTCTTCACTCTGCTCTGTTAAATGTGAAATGACTAACTGTGCTGCAAACTGAGTCCTCTTCATAAAAATCTAAAACCTATTGGAAGTATGCTGGACACCCATCCAAGGGATACGTGGGGCTGGCTTGTGCAAGGAAGCCAGGGAGAGCCAAGGTGCCCAGCGCGCCACAGGCACGGCTCTGCCACCCCAGGCTGGGTCCCAGCTTCGCTTTTCCCATTTTTCCGTGCCTCACCACCACCTTTTCAAAAAGGATGGACTGGGCTGGTGTGGTCATGACTCCTCCAAGAACTCAGGTCTCCCTGTCCCTGCGGGGGTCCGGGGGAAAGAGACGGCACCTTTGGAGGCTTCGTCTCTATCTTGTCTGTGTCAGCTGACTGTCTGAGGAAAGGGTCAGCCTGAAGAACACGTGGGTCACAGGAGCACCTGCTCCTTCCTCAAATGATATCCACTAACTACAGACTCACAGCTGCTGACCACGATAGGCATTCCTGTCCGAGGCCCTGTTCCATTCCCTGGCCTCCCCAATTTAGATGAAGGAAAAGATTACTAGAATCCCATGCCTTAAAGGAAAAGAAAAGAAGAAAAAAAAAACATAAAAGAGCTAGTGGGGAGCTGCTGGATAATAGGGAGCTCAGCCCGATGCTCCGTGATGACCTAGGGGGGTGACGGCGGGTGGGCACGGAGGCTCAAGAAGAGGATGCATGTGTCCTCACAGCTGATTCATGGGCACAGCAGAAGCGGACGCAGCCTTGTAAAGCAATTGTCCTCCAATTAAAGCTTTTGAAAAGAAACAAATGGAAAATGAAAAAAAGAAAAACATAAAAATAAAAAAGAACTATTTTCTATGCACGAGGGTAGGGGAGAAGGGAAAAGAGAGAGAAAAAGAATACATACATATAGCCTAAGAGCATACTTATGAGAACATTCATTAAATAAGCTTTAACATATGTCAGATAAAGTGTTAGGTGCTGAAAACTAAGATGTACTGCCAGGAAAATCTTGATAACTTGTGGTATTAAGAAATATATATTACAAATATATGTAACAGGCATTAGGCAGAAGATCAAATTAGGTCCAAGGTTCAACTCCAACTATAGAATTTTATGACAGTAACTATTACATGGATATAAAGAAGATGGGATTTAGATATGCTTTTTTTAGGAGTTTTATCTTTCTAGAAGAATAGAATCAAAATGGGAAGAGAGGGCACATTTAGATACATGGAGTGTCAGAAAATTAAGGCTCAGTGAGGAGAATACAAATGCTGTGTTAAGATTCAGTCAATAACTCTACTCGTCCAGAGTGGAAAGTGTGGAAAACGTAAAAGCATAAAGAAATGGAAAGATACATTGGGTCTGATTATTGATGGTCTTAAATGTCAGACCAAAGAGGTGGGTTTCTATCCTGCAAAAAAAAAAAAAAAAAAAGAATAAAGATGTGGCTGTTGTGTGCCTGTCTGTGTGGTAAAAGTCACTTAATCTAAAACGTAGTATCCTAACCATATCTAACTGCATCATTCAATTTGTTGTGCAGTTCTCACCATCATCCATCTCCCCAGTTTTTCACTCTCCTAAGCTGAAACTCTGTCCCCATTAAACACTAAGTCTCCATTCCCTTCCCCACCTCCTACACCCACCCCAGCCTTGGCACCTACCAATATACTTTCCGACTCTATGAAAGTGGCCATTCTCGGTACCTTGTACAAGTGGCATCAAGCAGGTGTGTCTGCACCTACTGCAGGCTTTCCTGGTGACTCAGACACTAACGAATCTGCCTGCAATGCGGGAGACCCGGGTTCGATCCCTGGGTCGAGAAGGTCCCCTGGAGAAGGGAATGGCCACCCACTCCAGTATTCTCGCCTGAGAAATCCAAGGACAGGAGACTGGCGGGCTACAGTCCATGGGGTTGCAAAGAGTTGGACACTTTCACTGCATACTGCAATGCATTTTAAGTTTTACTTAATGCATGTCCTACAAACAAATTGTACCTTTTTTTCCCTTTGTGCTATACAGTAGGTTCTCAGCAGCCCCCTGCTCACACGGTCCGCTGTGTTTAGCAGAGGGAGGCTCAGGGTTGCTGTGCATTATTAGACAATCAATCTGTGAACAGGGGGCAGAGCTGGCAGGGGCTGGGGGAGGCAAACAGGAGAAATGGTCAGAACCCGAGGCCAGCGCTTGGATGGAGAACAGGGAGAATGAACAAATGGAACCACGTGACAGGAGGATCACAGCGACTGGGATGCAGAGATCCATCCAGTAAGTGATCCAGGAAAGAAGGATCAGATTTTACGACAGAAAGACCCGAAAGAAGAGATTCTCAAAAGCACAAACCTGGTCTCCACGCCTCAGTTCCGTCAGCATAACAATCACCTTGACTCTTCTTTGGAAGACCATCTGCCAGAAGTCACCGATGGTCTCTTTCAGCGGTCCCTGAGCTGCAATCATCACTTCAGGTTTCCAGTAACTCTTTAAACAAAGAAAAAATTGAGACCTGGCTGCTGCTGCTGCTGCTGAGGAAACAGTGGATTCTTAAAGCAACCATGGGGAAAGAGAGCCACTTAACCTGATGTCAGAGCTGTTACATAAAAATACTAAGATTCTTAGGTCCCATCCTGTGATGAACCATAATGGAAAAGAATATAATAAAGAATGTGTACATATATATGTGTGTGTGTGTGTGTGTGTGTAATTGAATCACTTTGCTATATAGCAGAAATTAACACAACATTGTAAAGCAACTATACTTCAGTTTTTTTAGAAAGTGACAGATTCTTAGGCCCAAAAAACAATGTGATGTCTCTATAAAAGATATTAGTTAATGATAATACTTGGCTACTAATGTAAAATCAAGTTTAGAAGACATTATTTTAGAAAACTAACAAATTTTTCCCTCAAAAAATACCATTTTTTCCTTTGAAAAACTTAATGTGATCATTTTTTAAAAAGCATAAGCATTTCAAAATTGTCTTCATCATGTCTCTAATTTATGTTTATATATTTTTCTGCTAGAGACCCCTGGTAGCTCAGCTGGTAAAGAATCTGCCGTCCTGCAGTGCAGGAGACTCCAGTTCGATTCCTGGGTTGGGAAGATGCCCTGGAGAAGGGATAGGCTAGCCACTCCAGGATTCTTGGGCTTCCTGGTAGCTCAGAATCAGCCCACAATGCGGGAAACCTAGGTTCAACACCTGGGTTGGGAAGACGCCCTGGAGGCGGGTATGGCAACCCATTCCAGTATTCTTGCCTGGGGAAACCCCATGGACAGAAGAACCAGGCTGGCTACAGCCAATGGGGTCACAAAGAGACAGGCACGACTGAGTGACTAAGCTCAGACAGCATTCTTCTGCTATCTTATAACTCATATTCTGTGAATATGTACTTTAAGAAAATTGGGAAAAGAAATAAGTTCAGCTTAGTGAATATGCAAAAAGTATTTACTGAATTACTTAAAGTTCCTTGCTTAAATTCTCAGTATAGTAAAAAAAAAAAAAGGCATGTGATACAGACTCACTTAAATATTCAGAAAATCTGAATGAAAAGTTTTTAACTATACAAATACGAAAACTTGGATCTGCTGGCAATATGGGTATCTGAGTATATATAAATATTTTCAAATATTTGCTTTTGCTGAAATTTCATTATTTTTCAAATTATATTATAGTCCTATTTGTCATAAATTGTAACTGATAGTATTGTTTTGCATCAACTCATTAGGCTTTAACATCTAAGTATTGCAATAAGTTAAGATATAGTATTAAAAATGGAAATGGCTTTCATGTCAGTGAATACATAGATATGGTCAAGTTCATCCTTCTTTTATAAAATCGCTTAGTGCATGGCCATAAGAACATACGCATATTTTTTTAGAGGTGGACCTCGGGCTGGGTTTGGGAATGGGGAGGACTTACCATGACAAAGGAGGCATTGATGTATCTGCTTATCTCTTCCGAGTCACTGTCGTCATCAGAGGACTCATCCGAGTCTTGCTCACTCTCCTTGCTCGTTTCCAGCTCATGTTTCAGGGCCACTCTGTTAAAGTCATCTGTGCAAAATAAAAATAAAGCTTAAACTTGATTTAAAAAATAAATAAATCTCTGCTTGACTGTCACGTGGAACCCAGAAAGTCATTTACAAGTGACAGATCGCATTATGTATACATATTGATCTACATGGAATGAGATCCTGTTCCATTCTCATTGATTAACAAATTATTTTTTAAAACTCTAATAGAAAGGTGATCGATCCCAAGAAAGTCTCAGGAAAAAACATAGGACACAACTCTATGTCATAATCTTCCATATGATTACTCAATATTTGATACATATACTTCAGTTTTCCATGAAATAGCATCAATCTGATGGATAAAAGTTTTAAAAATACATCTATAAGTTAATAAAATACATAGCTTAGGTAAAACCTAATGTTTCAATTATATCTTATTAACAGTAAATTAGCAAGCTTAATTAAATTAGTACCTCAGATAAATAATTATTTCATCGAGAAAAGTATTTAGTCCACAATTTCTCGCTGTTACTCAATTTCTTTAATTTAAAATAACCTGATCAAAGGATCTGATTAGTTATATCACCATCAATTCCATTTTTTAAGCTGTATTCATAAGGACCTCTTCAGAAATTAATCAACCATGCATTGATCAAATTTATTGGGTTGTCTATCTTGGGTTATATTTTCTCCATGTTAGTTTCAGTGCATGAATATTTATTTAGCAACCAAATAAAATTATAGTTGTATAGGTATGGTCCTATCAATATACTTAAATAGCAAAAGATGCATGTTTTGATCTGTTAAACGTGATGATCAAGAGTTTATAGTATATTTCCTGCCTACTTTTAACCTCCCTGATATAAGGATGGGATAAACAGAAAACGTAAAGGGAACAAAAGGATGTAACTTTGCTACTTGTCAATTACCCTGGAGTAAATAACTGCAATAAACTGAAGATGAGAGGCAAGCTGTAAAGAGAACTTGCCCTTTCCCCAGCTTAAGAGGTTGGGTCTTTCTGAAAACCCATTTCTGAACTAAGAAAACACTGGCTACAGTCTCTCCTCCCAAGTCGGGGTTCAATGTATTTGCTGCAACTAAAATTCAAAAAACCTATAACTACTCTCTACTGTCAAGCAAATGTTGAAAAGTTGCTTCCCAAAGGTTTGCGTGTATGTCTCACATTAAACAAATTCAGAGAACTTCACCATGACACAAAAGGCAAAAATAAACTGCATACATGGAATGACGTTAGAATTCCTGTTTTTACTCTTATTTTCTTCTTGGTTCCCAATATGCTGTGTCCTCCAGCTCCTATAAGAAGGAAGTCTCTGAAGGAAAGAAATAGAAAGGAAACACTTTTTAAAATGTAATCACTAGTTCAGTTTATTATTGTAGCATAGGATATTCTGTAAAGAAAATAATTTCTTTAAGTTTTGTGAAATTTACATATATTCCCTAAGGTCCCAATGTTTGTCCCTGATCTTTTTTTTTTTTTTTAAACTATTCAGGTCTTAAGTACTTCGACATGGTGAATTTGAACATATGCAATTATATAACAGAATATGTTTCCCAGTGAAGAGGTGCTAGATAGTAGAAAATGTATGGTTTGTTCTTTTATAAGTTAAAAGCACTGTACAGATATTGGCCATTCTCCATATGGCAAAAAAAAATGTTAAATTATTTTAAATGACCCAAAGTCAATTCTCCCCCAAGATAAAGCATGCACAGATGACTTGGCTCATGCTTTGCATAATCAACACTTCATTTCTTTAGGACCTCCACACTCTCTTCCCCTCTCCCTCCTGGTAGCTAATCAGCTGGCAAGAGCTGTCATATCTCCGGGTGAAGCTCTCAAATCCTTCTGCGTTTCCCTCCTCCTGCTTAGGACACTTTCACTTCTCACTTGCAAACATCAGCACTGGCCTCTTTACCTTCAATCTCACTTGCTCTAATCCTTCTAGAACTTCTCTCCGGCTTCTGGCAGCTCCCCGTCCTTGTCAGGAAGGACCCAGCATCCGCACAGCGCAGGAAGCCTCTCGGAGGCGGCCCTGACTGTCTGCAGCCTCACCTCCTGCTGGGCCCTCGGCACTGTGGCCAAACCAACCTCCTCCACCTTTGGAGGGGGCCAAGCTGTCCTTCGATTCTCAGGAGACTCACAGGGGTGTTTTCTGCCTGGACTACCCTTGACCCTTTCTGTCACTCTGCTAACTTCTACTTGCCCTTTAGATATCCGTTCAAAGGTCAGTTTCTACTGGCAGCTCTCCCCGCCTGCAGCCTTTTCTTCCTAATAAATAACTTAAACAAATATCTCTCAAGTGGATAAATAGCCTAGACTGAAGGATCTCAACATGCACAGTTGAGTACCATTATACTCACAGTTACACACACTCAGTTATACACACTCAGTGGAAAAGACCCTGATGCTGGGAAAGATTGAGGGCAGGAGATGAGTACCATTATACACACAGATATCCACACTCAGTGGAAAAGACCCTGATGCTGGGAAAGATTGAAGGCAGGCAGAGAAGGGGACGACAGAGGATGAGATGGTTGGATGGCATCACCATCTCAATGGACATGAGTTTGGGCAAGCTCTGAGAGTTGGTAAAGGTCAGAGAAGCCTGGTGTGCTACAGTCCATGGAGGTACAAAGAGGTGGACATGACTGAGAGACTGAACACCAACAAAAATACAGATATGTGTGTGCACATACACGTATGCATGCATATACATTACAAACACATTTAGAAAAACTATGGTGCCTTCTTTCAAACTCAATACAGCACTTTGTTTCAAACCATACTCATGTCTTCACCTCCTATAATTTTCCTCCAATCTTCAGCCATCCACAGTCTCCTCTCCATTTTTGTAGATAGGTTTCATTCCAAAACACGCATCACTTTAAAAGTTATGATTTCCACCATACCTGCTATGGAAAATTACCCCTATTCTTCCTAGCCATTTGCTCTAGCACCTCCAATTCAGTAACCTGCAATCCTATCAAAACCTTTAACATACTGCTTTTAAGACTTTCTCACTGTACTGCATGTCTTTCTGTGGCTCATATGCTCTTTATTGATCACCCACCCTAAATATTCACTTGCAAGTACCCTCAGCTCCTTCACCTCACAACTTTCAATTTGTCACTTTAAAATATCCTAGATGTGCTTAACCCAACTACACACAGCCTCTAACCTCAAGGTTACTGCAGGAAACAAAAACCAAAAACCGACTGACTGACTCTCTTGGAAAATTCATGACCATAAATTTCAAAAGATCCAACAGTAATTTCTGGCCACCCCACCCCCTTCACCTGGGAGATGGCTTTCTTTCTTTGATAGAACTATTTCAAATCATTTTCTCTTTCTTGAGCATGAACTCTTCTTTATGACTCACTTCTGCCCCACCCCCAAACTCTCAACCAATAATCTTACTTCATATGCTCTTAAGAAAGACGAGGCAATTAGACATGAACTGCCTCAATGTTTCATCACTAATCCACCAGCCAACCTCCATCTCTACCCTTACTTTCTGTCTCCCTGTCTGCCTAGCTGGAATAATTTCACCGTTTCTATCAGAGCTGTGGTTACCACCTGTATGGATCACACTCACCACCCATGTCCACATACAAATCACTTTGATTCTTGTGCTTAAAAGCATAAGCTCAATCATATTTGCTCAGTCAAGAATCTACCCTTTCTGTTAGTGACTTTACATATGAATTTTTAGATTAAATGTATAAGTATTTCAAACACTGTGAATATGGAGTACAGTGGAGTTAGTGAATTAAATGCAGTGGAAAGAGCAAGAATAAAGAAGCACCTCTTACTGAAGACCAAGCTGGTAGTCTGCTGGTTTTTCCATCAGAGGACAGTCTTCAGGCTGGATCATGTTACTTGGTGAATATCTCAAGCCCCACCCCTACGCCCACCCCAGCCGCACTCTGATCCAAAACATTAAATGACTCTGCATCTGATTAAAAGCATGTTCCTGGTCTTGTTGTGAAAACTTCTAAATTGACCAGTTTGGTAGTTTACAGAAAGATTCGATAAACTAAAAATCAGGTGAAAAAGAAGACTAGCAAAAGCTTTGTGATGACTGGACAACTTGGAGACAGCTATACCAACTCTCTGAAATCATAGTGAGCCACGTCCTAGGTTAGTTTTCAGAGTAATTGCCTAATAAATAGGTTAGGACACATGTATTTATCCTTCAGTTTCTGTCTACCAGCTCCAGCCAGTTCCCGCTCCTAAGTCATCATAAACTCCTATAATTATTTCCTTTACAAACCAAAACCAGATGTAGTTGTTAAAGGTGAGATGCTACGCTGCCTTTGGCGGGCCAATTTTGTGGCTATATACTATTATTTTGACACTTTATTTTATACCAGGTTAACGAGGAATGGTTAACATGTTGGCCGCAGCGTCAGATTTCTAGATTTAAACAGGTTTCCTACCTAATCATTTTGTGCTTTCAGGCATTTCTCTTAAACTCTCTGTGTCTTAGTTCCCTCATCAGTGCTCCGTGTTATGGCAAAGCCCGAATACAAGAGCCAGGCCACGTGTACAGGACAGAGTTGGGAAACAGACAGAGGTCCAAGTGGGTGCTGTTACCTGGAACTCAGCCTCCAGTGGGGAAGGCTCACTGGGCGGGTCTCTTTTCTTCATGTTAGACAGGTATGGGTGTAACTCATACAGGCTCACTTCTGTCTCCCCAAACTGATTGTACTCCACCAAGGCCTGGTGAATCAAGATGTACTGTGCCTGTCATTTCAAGGAAGGATAGAGACAGTTAATTTATCATTTGTAGTCCAATGAATCACATTTAAATAAAGTACACATCCCCCACATTTGGTTCATCTGGAGACAATGTATGAAAGAGAACATTGGTATCTGCCACATTTAAATAATCTGGAAGTTGGCACTCACAGTTCTCTGGGAAATGAGTAAATTCCATCTCAGATTATTTTGCCAGGGAAAAAAAAAACAGCTTCACAAATAGATTAGGCATCTATAATGTAGGTTATAACTTCTATTTTATTCCTAACAGTTAAAAAACACTATCTGTTACTTCCTCCCAGGACTAGTGTTGAGTTAGTAAGTTAAATTACTAAGATATAAAACTATAAAGTTCCACATTGTATCTGAGAGGGAAAAAAGCAAGTTGATATTCCATAGAACACATTTTTTAAAAGTTTTCTAGCACCTTTTAAAATAGAGATTATATGAAAGAATCTGCCTGCTTTGTGGGAGACCCAGGTTCAATCCCTAGGTTTTGTAGATCCTGCGAAGAAGGGAACGGCTACCCACTCCAGTATACCTGGGGCTTCCCTGGTGGCTTAGATGGTAAAGAATCAGTCTGCAATGCAGGAGACCCAGGTTCAGTCACTGAGTTAGGAAGATCCCCTGGAGAAAGGAATGGCAACCCACTCCAGTATTCTTGCCCAGAGAATCCCATGGATAGAGGAGCCGGACAGGCTACAGTCCACGGGGTCACAAAGAGCTGGACACAACTAAGCAGCTAATACACATACAAGAAAACATAAAATACCAAACCCAGATTTAACTATTCTTAAACTTTTACCATAGTTGAATTGCTTTTAAATAAATGACATATTTCTGATAAAGTTCAAGCTTCTTTAACACCACCTCTACTCTGACTGTATCCTTCCATTCTATGTTATTTTGCCACAGGAAATAGTTCCTTCTTTTCTGGTGGACAATCCATTTTAAGACTTCTACAATAACATGCATGTATTTATAAACATCGTATTTCCATGTCCTTTCTTAACAGTTACATACATCGTACTGTGTATGTTTTATCTGGTGACTGTATTTGCTCACTGCTCTCATCTAGCACCTGCCCACGCTGAGAGCTACAGACCGATCAGTCCTGCCAACTGCAGCAGGACATGGTGTACAGAGTCCCCCTGCCCATATTCTGCAGGCCTACTCCCATACTGATACATATCTAAAATTTTTCCATTTTTGTTATCCTAGCAATGTTGAATTCAGTGAACACTCCTGAATATGTGTCTGGTTGTGCAGATTTGGAAATGCTTCTCTTGGGTGCATACATATATGTATGGAATTTCTGGGTCAAGCGCAGACATTCTCTAGAATAATATTCATCAATTACAATTACTGACTATGTGTGTGTTCCCGGGACTTGTGTAAGTGCTTTACTTGGATGATCTTTTGTGTCTTAACTCTGTAAGGTAAACAATATTATTATCTCCATTTGGATGACATCACTGAAGCACAGGAACCTTATAAACTGGTTGAAGAGTGCATGGTATTAAGAATAACTATCACAATTTGAAACTTCTAAATCTAGTTCGAAAAACTAGACTCTTAACCACTGTACTGTACTATTATGTCTTCCTAGGTTCAATTTTAGGAAATGCTGACAAACTCGGTTTTGGCATTTTTAATTGTTTCCCAACCTAGGATGTGTAAATGGTATGTCATTATTTTTTAACATATACTTTATAGTCATCCTTATTCCACAGTGTTCTCAGCCACCAATGCAAAATGCTTCTAACTTGATCGGTGCTTTAGTTTTCAGGAAATGGAAAGAAGCTGTTTGAGAGTGAGAACAATTTGGGTTTCCTTTAAGGTTACTACTCCCACCATGAAAAAAGATTTAAGTCGGAAGCTCAAAGTGAGGACCGTGCCTAGAACATACCTCCACCTGAACCATCAGGCACCTCTGTCGTCTGAGCTTGACAACATAGCCATAGACATCCACCTTGTTCTCCGCCTCCAGGCCTTCCAGCATGGCATCGATCCCGATATAGGTGCCTGTGCGCCCAACACCAGCACTGATAAAGCAAATGAATGGAGGAAAATGAACAGAAAAGCCCAGAAGTGCTCCCCGTCTCCCTCCCCATCCCACCCCTCTAGGTGATCCAGAGCCCCTGTTTGAGTTTCCTGACCCACAGAGCAAATTGCCATTGGCTGTCTAGTTTACATATGGTAATGTACTTTTCCATGTTACTCTCCCCATACATCTCACCCTCTCCTCCCCTGGCCCCACGTCCATAAGTCTGTTCTCTCTCTCTGTCTCTCCACTGTTGCTCTGTAAATAAATTCTTCAGTACCATATTTCTAGATTCCGTATATATGTGTTAGAATACAGGATTTGTGCTGAGGTTTGACAGAAAACAGCAAAATTCTGTAAAGCAATTATCCTTCAATAAAAAAATAATAATAATTTTTTAAAAAGCCCAGAAGGGTTAGTCAGGGGAAACATCGTAACCTGCTTCTCATAGACCTTCTGGAAGCAACAGCTGCCAAAGGGGAGGGCGGCCCCGACAGCCCCATGGGCGCGGGTGTGAACAGCCCTGGTGCTTTTGGGGAGGTCTTCACGTACCTGCAGTGTACCACGATGGGGCCGCTGAAGAAGTTGCTGAAAGCGTTTACCCTCCTGCGCAGCTTGAGGAGCAGGTGGGGGTCTTCGGGGACCCCGTGGTCCGGCCAGCTGGTGAACTGAACGTGAGTCACAGCCCTTCCATTTGCTTTCTCTTTTCTCTAGTCAGGAGATAATATTTCTTTTAGATGATTTTTCTTTTTAACTATGGAAAGTAAGCAGGTAGAAGGGAGGGCCAGTACAAAACACTTCTCATGCAAGCTTTTTTTTTTCATTCATGATTGCATTTTCCTCTCCAAAGAAGAACTAGGAATTGAGACATCATGCAGGCACGGCATGCACTAACAGGTACGCAATTACCTACCAGGAAGGTAAGTAATGTATGACAAGTGTAGCTGAAACTGCTAGGAGCTTTCATGCTGCCAAGCCCAAAACAAACAAACAAAGTAAAAACACAAGAACACACACACAAAACCGGGGGCTGGTGGATGGGATTGAAAAGAAATAAAGTAAAAGCCACTCTCACAACGGCTTGGAATACTTCTTCTTCGGTAGCCAGACAAATAGGACTATCATCATAGGAAGAAAGTCTGATTAATTATTTGACTAATGCTGTATTTCTCATATTAGAAATGTCAGTTCAGACAGTAGAGAGAGAACTGGGGAAAGTCAGCTCCAGATTACAGCTCATGTTCGTCCCAACTTCAAGGCAAGCACTAAAAGATGCATGATTCGTAATCTCTAACCAAGTATGAAGAGGAACTCCCAACGTGGCTGGATGTCACTTTGAGATCGGAAGTAACTGAGCTAATGAGGAAGCGTAATGCCAGACTAATCAATGTAACCAGATTGGCGTCGGCCTCTGCACATCACCCCCATCTATGACTGGTCCTTCCTGGCTCCAGTGCATCATATATTCAGCCATGAACCACTGGTTTCACAGACCTCCAAGGTCATAGTTGTTAGTTGTTAGAGATGCTGTAAGACTTTAGAAGGCCGTAGGAGAAATAGGCAACTGGTATTTTTTTTTTCTTGCACAAAATGTATCTGGATCATATGGAAATACAATTCAGATTACTGAGAAAACTTCCAATAAATGGAATTGAGAGAAACCATCAAGCTTCTCTATGTGTGTACATGTGTGTGTTATTCGCTCAGTCGTGTCTGACTCTTTGGGGCCCCAAGGACGGCAGCCTGCCAGGCTCCCCCGTCCATGGGATTCTCCAGGCAAGAATACTGGAGTGGGTGGCCATGTCCTACTGCAGGGGGTCTTCCCAACCTAGGGATCGAATCTCAGTATAAAGATCTCCATGTTTAATACCTTTATCAAGATATTTGCACATTCCTTTAAACAGTAAAAGGTTTTATTATAGTCGTCGAGTTGTGAAGTCATCACCACTAATTATAGGGTATTTTCATGACCCTCCCAAAAAACCCTGCACAGATGAGCAGCCAGCTCTGTTCTTGCCCCACCCACCTCAGTACCAAACAATCACTAACCAATCTTCTGTCTCTGTAAGTGTGCCTAATCGAGACTTCTCAGATGAGCAAATCATATAATAATTAGTGGGAAGACCACCATTTCAACAGGCCACACTGACCATTTTTTTTTCTGACCTAAATATTTTCTCTCTCCTACACAGTTAGAACTTTAGACTTCTTACAGTAGTCTCTATGCCATTGTATAAATATTCTTTCCATAATGGTAATAAACCTACTGAGACTAAGGACCATTTTTATCACTCGTTCAATAATTCGGTCATTCATGTAACACAATTAATGAGCTCTTTCCACTTCAAGGGTCACAGCATTATAAATACTTTGGATGCGATGTGGACAAAGATCATCTTCACTGTGACTTGCTCCACCTTGGTGGCTTATTGTTTTAACCAACTCTTCCCCCATGTAGCTCATTAAAAACAAAGTGTCCAGGCATATTTCAATGTCTCCCATTGACTATCACAGCCACATTTTTTACTAACAGCATGAAGATTAAAATTCTATCAAAACCAAACTCACGTTTCCAACAGTCAGCTTCTGAATGATGTAATCCGGGCATCTCTTGTGCTCGTTGATCTCCACAATCACGTCTCCATAAACCCGGCTGCCCTCTTCCATCGACGGCCAGTACTCTGCACACTTGTTCTATGTTAAAAAGCCATTGACCGTTGAAGTTTCTCATTTAAATGAATTTGTTCATTAAACACTCTTCGTAAAACAAAACAAACAAGAAGTGTGCTCTTTGAATGTCTCAAAACATTTTTCTGTTCCATTTCACTGGGATGCTTGAAAAGTATTCCATTTCCCATGAAGTGCCCAGGTTTTCCTTAATTCTACCCAGCAGATGATCTTCCCAGGCTTAGCTGCATATTAAATGGGGACATGCTTCGTGGTGAGCAAGAAATTCTGTGGTTGCATGTGATTAATTTCAGGCTGGGGTATGCGGAGGTTTTCAGGCTTCCTAAAGTCATGTTACATAAATTACCATCTATCTCCCCAAGGTCAGCGTGAAGGTCAATGTGTTTCAAGTATTCACAAGTACTTGTGAAACCAGCTCATAGAAGTGTACTGAACTTGAAATAACACTGGAACAAAACAGGAATCCCATAGGAGTCCAGCAATTAAGCAGAAACACTTAAATTTTACTCCTATATACGTAGATTTGCATGCTCAGTTGTGAAGTCATGTCCGACTCTTTGGTGACCCCATGGGTTGCAACCTGCCAGATTCATCTGTCCATGGAATTTTCCTGGCAAGAATACTGGAGTGGGTTGCCATTTCCTTCTCCAGGGACATATATTTATATATGTACACATTTTATCCTTCTGTAGGTATGAAAATTGAAATCAAATGTTCAAAGAGAGAACTGTCTGTTTTGTCATCAAGCACATACAGATGTGACGTTTTGAAATGCAGTCCAACCCTCTCTTTTCCTAACATCCAGCCTCCACCTTGTGATTCCTAGACCTTTACCCTGAAAACCTTCTGGGTTCCTACCTTGTTCCCTTCTTCACAACGAGTGACCATGACAATAACCGTGGCTTTCTGCTCCCAGATCATCCTCCAGAAATCATCAACAGTCTCATCCCTGGGACCTAGGTGGTAAACAAATAAAAACTGGTAAGAAGTACCCTTTTAAAAATGCTAAAAAGAAATTTTTCAAAAAGAATATCAGACTACCAGAGAAATTACCTTGTGCTGCAATGTATTTCCTGGGTTCTTTAAAACCCTGTTCAAGACAGACAAAAAGAAATATCATTTACTGAGTGTTCAATTATTCATTTACATGCAGAAATGTGAAGTAAGGAAGTTGCTTCAAATCTGTCATTTCTTGAGTGTGTATTTTCCTGAGCAGTTTCAAATTATAAGGGGGAGTTTATTAACTCATGATCAGTCATTTAACTGTGCCAAACATATTAACACTTACAAACAATATCCATGATTTCATGTGTCTTTGTGATATACCCTAAACAAAGCTGAAAAGTACATAGGTTTTAGCTCCATCTGGGATGGTGCAGCAATTTATAAGAGTAATCAGGCATTCCTACATTTTATATCCTGTCAAACTTTAAAGCACCGTCTGCCGCAATTTAATCCTCCTTACCAGCCATAGAGTAACTTCGGGGATTTTTACTCAATTTCTTTCAATAACTCATCCTGAGATTAGCCTCAAACTTCTACCTTTTATCTAGTGCCAGGATATACCAGTGATGGTCCAGAATCAGCCACATTATGTATTGTCTATAGACATGTAGCCATGGGCTTCAGAGCTGAGGAGCTTTCACAGAGGTGGCGTATCCTGTAAAACCCCAAAAGTTGCTATCTGGCCCCTTACAGAGAAAGCCTGCCAATCTCTACTTTCACAGAGTGACATTTTATGTATCCAAGATATATATTTTAGTTAAATTAAACATCATACAGAGCAGTGTGAATATCATGGTAACATTTTTGGATAAGTGCTGGGCAACAAATATTGCTGTTTTCTGGTTTGTGTATAAAGAAATCCTCAGTGGATAAATAGGAAAAAATGTGGTGGTGGTTTAGTTGCCAAGTTGTGTCCGACTCTTGCAACCCCACAGACTGCAGCCCGCCGGGCTCCTCTGTCCATGGGATTCTCCAGGCAAGAACACTGGAGTGGGTTGCCACGCTCTCCCCAGGGGATCTTCCCAAGCCAGGGGCTGAAGCAGGTTTCCGGCACTACAGACAGTCTCCTGCATTGCAGATGGATTCTTTACTGACTGAACCACCAGGGAAACCCCAAAACAACATAAAGCTTGCCTTCTGAGACGGGGGGGGGGGGGGGTGCTGCCTACACGGCAGGCGGGTGGGAGGGAGTGCTTCTAGTGTCTCTGCATTTTTACTTTATTTTCTATTGGGGTATAGCTTATTGACAGTGTTGTGTTAGTCTCAGGTGTATAGCACAATGATTCAGTTATACATAGACATGTATCCACCCCCATACAAAACAAAAAGTTTAAAAAAAGAAAGCTGTTCATATTTCCTTCAGGGACAGTAAAATATTCTGGCATGCTCAGGAATAGTAGTAGCAGTATTAGTCGCTCAGTCGTGTCCGACTCTTTGCGACCCCGCAGACTGTAGCCTGCTAGGGTCCTCTGGCCCTGGGATTCTCCAGCCAATACTGGAGTGGGAGGCCACTGCCTTCTATAGAGGATCTTCCCGACCAGGGATAGAACGCAGGTCTCCTCTGCTGCAAGATAATCTATGATAAAAACTGAAGTTTAGGATTAACATATATACATTAGTGTATATAAAATAGATAACCAATAAGGTCATGCTATATATTCTGTAATAGTTTCTCCGTATTTTTATACTGCTTATTTTTTTTTAATTTTGTGTGATGCATTACTTACTTAACAATGGTATAATAAATTACAATTTTAAAATATTTTGGATAAATTAACCATATACAATATCCTCAGACATTTACTAACTAAACAAGGGCAAAGTAACAAATTAACCAGTGCCTTCCAGTCCTCACCTCCATGGTGAGGTGCAAAGGCAGGACTCTTATGAGAAATACACACAGAGATAATTTAGGTGATATACAGCACACGGCAGGCAACAGAGTGTTTTGATTCTTATTATCATTTTGTTGGGAGAGAAAAATCCTATATTACCTAGCAGTGATAGTAAATAATAAATAACTGTTCTTTCAAATATTAGTGATGTTGTTGTTTATACCAGTGACATTGATGGGCTTCTATCAAAGGATTTCAAATAATATTTCTAAAAACTTGCCATGACTGGACATATGTATATGTTTAACTGACTCACTTTGCTGCACACCTAAACTTACACAACATTGTTCATCAGCTACACTGCAATAAACTCTTTAAAAACATAAAAATCTGCCATGACAAAGATGGAGCTGAATAGAACGTATAGACACAAGAAAAATGAAAATGGTGAAGCTGTAAAACCTGGCCATTATGCACTTCTTACTCACATCAATATAGCTGGCATTTATATAGTTTGATCCTGGATCTCCATTTATGTCAGAGAGTTCAACACGGTTGTAGTCATCTGCTCAAGGAAAAGGAATATTAAATAAGTGATATAATGAATAATCAAGTAGCCTAAATGTATGGGAATCCAATTCTCAATGAACACTTACATGGAAGGATATCAACATAGCGGTTTTTGTTCTGGTTAAAGGATTTTCGAGCATCCTTGATGGAAAACTTGCTAAATACCCGTGGAATGCTCTGAAAGACACAAAGATCCTTTGGGTCAGAGCAGATTGTAGAAAAACCACTTCCCCTCACCACTTATCATTCTGAACAAGTGAGACATCCTGGTACGTATTTCCTTTACCCTGGTGAACAAGCTGCCTATGGTAATTGAAATGAACGTTATTAGGAATTATGCAAAAAGCCCTCTTTAAGAAAATGAATGAGGGACTACTTGGAGAATAAATCCCATGAGAGCAAATTTAGCAGTAATTGCTCTGCCACTTTCAAATTCATTGAAAAACACACTTGGATAATTATCTAGAGCACAAGGACACATCAGCCAAATGTGTTTCTGGACACGACTTCATAACTAGTACTCATTCACTGAAGCAGCATTACCTTGAAATGTTGACTAGTTTTACGACGATACATCTCTGCTGGTCTGCAAATACCTGATAATAATAGCTGCTTTGACTCCACTGCACTATAATGTGGGATAAACTATCAAGGCCAACAGCTACACAACACATTTAAGATGGATCACGCTGGTGATGGAGTAAACTCTCGTCCTATGGCAAGAAGAGCACCCACCTGAAACTCAGCCAGGAAGAGCCTTCCTTCATCCGCGATCTTTCGCTTGTAAGTCTCCAGCAAAACATCTGCATGGATGGGCTCCACGTTCATCAGCTGCTTCTCATCATCTTTAAACACATTAAAGGTTCATGGCTGGTGTCACATCTCTCCTTCCCACGTTCACACACATTTCATTAGAAGCGAATCTTGGGTTAAGCCCTGAGCGTTTTTCCTCCTCACACACAGTCCACCCGGAACATCTCACTCACACAGAGATTCACCTGTAAACCTATGACATCTAAATTTGGGGCTCTAGTACTCCTCTGGTCTTTTATATATTAATCTTTCCCACTGACTCTCAGATCTTCCACCCAATTATCCCAGAAGGACCCCAAACTCAAGATGTTCAAAGGCATCTCCCCTTTATTCTAGCATCTCAAATCTCAGCAAATGGGACCACCACTCCCAAAGTCACCTAGCAAGCAAACCTCCAAGTGACCCACGATTTCTCCCTCTGTCCTTACATCCAACAGGTCACCGTGTACCTTCCACATCTTCGGCCCAGGGTCACGCTTGGGACCCCTCCTCATCCACATGACAACCCCTCTCCCTGCCTCCAGTCTGTACCCACCCTGACTGACTTTTGAAACTGCCACAAATTCATCTTCTGATCCACAAATATGAGCATGCAACTCCACTTGCTCCAAAGCTCACACTACTGTTTGTGCTCCATAGTCTACAGGTTAAAGTTTCAATGGTTAACGTGATATATGAGCACTTTTTATAGTATCATGTGACTCATCGCAACCAGTTTCCTACACTCTTGCTCTACATCTTAGGCACAAATATTCGCCAAGTGCATCACAGAGGTTCCCCCCATGCCTCCATTCACACTGTCTTCTCTGCAGAGAATGCCCCTCCTCACTATCTATCTGCAGTGACAGATTTCAGGCCAAGTATCACCACTGTAAGGAGATCTAGGGCTACATTTCTTTGTTCATTATACGCATTTTATGACAATTACTATACTTACCCATATTGTATATTTTTAAATTTTATCTAAGTTATTGTGAAATATTGTAAACATATAAATAAGAGAATGTGATGACTACCCTTGTACCCAGAACTCGTCTTAATGTCATAATCTTGACTGTAAACAGACTGTGTTCATTTTTCACACCACCAGTGTATGAAACTCAATAAATACCACACTTGTGAAATAACTTACTAAAGAACAAAATATATTAAAGTAAATAGCTATAATTGCATATGGATACTGACAAACAACTATTTCAGAATCTTAAGAGAATATAAGCTGTGACACATGTTGAAAGTTATGTTCGTCCTCCTCTCCATGTACATCTAGCAGCATTTCTTTTAGTATCCATGTTACTGTCCCCTATTTATTAGATGAAGAAAAAAGATGTCCATTAGGGTTATATTTAGCTTTTTGACTGTGGAAATCTTCTATCCCATCACAACTATCAAACTGTCCATGTACAGCTGTTCCTTTGGATGGTTACAGCTCCCCGGCATTCACTCATCCTGACCTAGGGCCACCATTGAGGGTTTATGGCATTTGGATAAGTTCTAACCACTCCAAGGGGCAATCTGTGGCAACTCTGAGATAAATGCTCCTGGAGCCCTTCTGAGACAAGTTAAAACCACACAGAGGAGTTCTGAAATGTTTCTTGAGCATGCAAAACCAAATCATTTTCTTTATTATAAACACAGTTTCAACTTCTTAACCCCATCCCCTTTTTACTGGATCAAAAAACACATTTTTAAAGAGAATTGAAAGAAGTTCTGTAAAAGTTTAAAAAAAGAGAGAGAGAGAGAGAAAAGATGAAATGTGCTTTCATCTCCTAAGTCAGGTTGTGACCTTTTGTCATGTCTGTCCGCGCGCCATTAGCGGGAACAGCCCCCATCCCACCCTTGCAGGGACGTGGACACACTTGCCACCTCCCTGTCTGTGCGTCTGTGTGACTTTCCATCTGCGCTTCCATCGCGCTCTCCTTTGTTGGGCTAATGATCCCCCACCACCTTAGAAGACCTAGCTTCTTGCCTTCTGCGTAGACAGCTTTCTATCTTCCGTCTCCATGGCACCGTACGCACTCCATGATTGTGGCACCTATCCAATTCTGTCACAGCTGTCCACAAGTCTGTCTTCCTCTACTAGACCCTAAAATTTTACATGCAGTCTGTGACCTGTCACTGCCATAGTTTCAGGCACGCTTTGAGAAGGTACGGATCCGTGCTGGTTAAATAAATGCAAATGAATTTAAACTTTATCACAGGGGAAGTCCAGGTTAGGTTTTTTAAGTGTTGAATTATTATATAAAACAAGGGAGATATTTGCCAGTGAAAAAACGTGCACACTTACCCCTTTCAACTAGTTCCTGCTGCTCATCTAAATTGCTGTAAAGATAAGAAATGTAAGTTTGCATACTCTTAAGAAACAGAATTCAGTTGGCAAGCAACTTATATTTAATGAACATCTTGAGGGAGGGAGGAAGTAGAGATGGGGAGGATCAAAGGGAAGCGGGGAGTGGGTAAGAAGGCAGAATGGGTGGGGAAGGAGGAGGAAAGTAAGGGAGGAAGGAACCACCCATGGGTGGTTTGTCAGTCTCAGAGAAGTGACCGCAGTTTTTTATTTGGAACTTCTTGATTTTCATAAAGGGTAGTTGTTCCTGGCCAGAGGAATGTACATGCTTCCCCGTGTATTCCTCTCCGTTGGCACTTCTGGATACCTATGACCCACTTTGTACTAAAAGAACAGACACATTCTTTTCATTGGCTGTTACTAAAGGCAATCTATCCCATTATTAGTGAACATAGAAAAAAATAATGTTTGATATAAACCAATAAGACCAGAGGAAAATCTGTCATCAAAGGTTAGTGATGTCTTAGACTTCCTACTGTCATCTCTTAATTCCATTTAATCGGTTCCAAGTTGGCCTCATAAATGGGACTTTCGTCATTAGAACTATTATTATTATCTTTTCATTTTAAAATCAACTCTTACCTGGATCTTTTCTTATGCAGATCATAGATTTTATAGAGAACAATGAGCAGGGCTATTGATGTCACAATAATCAGAAACACCAAAAATATGATGACTGCTTTAGCATTATCTAATGAGAAGAAACGAGAAGAAATGAGAAATGAGAAAGAACACATGAAGAGAGCGTACTACATCAAATATGTTGCTGGATTCTTTGAGAAATCACTTTTAAAGTACCTACATTTTAACATTTTCATTTCTTTTGTAGTTTTAAAAAAATATACTTTTTATAATGAGAGCAAAGACAGGATGCTTCTGATTTTGTAAGTCTTGCCCATATCTTTCCCACTTATTGGTTCAGAACCAGTAAAATATTTCATATTTTAAGAATGCATAGACTATAGAAGAGCAATTCTCTTCCTTTCTACTAAATAATGTCCATTTATGAGACACTATCATTTAGATTTAACTGTCTTTCTTTTGGTCACTCCATTTTGAAGGACTCAAAGAGGTAATCTAGTTATAATTCTCAGAGATAACCTCCTATAGTTTAACTTTATGTGCAAAACTAGCTAGCTTCTTAAGGGGATCAGAAAGGTCACTGCCCCACATGAGATAAACCTGCTTATTGAGGTATAAAATCAATAAACCACAGGACAAAATTATTTTAGTCTACACTTGATATTAGACTTATCCTGACATGAATTTTCACAAAGGTTTAATGTGAAATCACGTCCTTTCTTGGAGGAAGGGCAGAGAAAAGAGGCTTTACTGGAAATATCTCTTGTCCTGAACAAGTAGGTAATACTGTTCATCTATGGTGAAAGTCCAGTGAAATAACGTGGAGGCATCAGGGCCTCAGTCCTGGATACAGACTGCTTGGGTTCCCAGCCTAGCTCCACCACTTCCTGGCTGGGACCTTGGCCACAACACTCATTATCTTTGTATCTCCATCCCTAACTAGTAAATTGAGGCCAAGTTTGATTCACAGTAGACATTTAGCATAGTGCTGGGACATAGTCAGTATTAATTATTCACTATTCACCCAAAACATTTTGGGTCTTAGTGTGTGCCACTGATTTAAGTATTTAAGATGTCTCAGAGAATGAGACAAAGATCCTTGTACTCATGGGACTAACATTCTGGGAGGAAAGACAGGTAACAACATACTCTATAAACAAGCGAACAGTGAAATAGGTTGGAAGATGATGAAGACTGGAGCATCGGCTACATGGCGCTGGAGCAACTGTAAGGAGATACCCCATGTCCAAGGGCAAAGAAGCCCCAGCAAGACGGCAGGAGGGGTGAAATCACATTTAGAATCAAACCCCATTCCCACCAGAGACTCTCAGAGGGCAGACTGAAAACCACAATCACAGAAAACTAAACAATCTGATCACAGGACCACAGCCTTGTCTAACACAATGAAAGTATGAACCATGCCGTGTGGGGCCACCCAGACAGACGGGTCACGGTGGAGAGTTCTGACAAGACGTGGTCCACTGGAGAAGGGAATGGCAAACCACTTCAGCATTCTTGCCTTGAGAACCCCCATGAATAGTATGAAAAGGCAAAAAGATAGGACACTGGAAGGTGAACTCCCCAGGTCGGTAGGTACCCAATATGCTACTGGAGATCAGCGGAGAAATAACTTCAGAAAGAATGAAGAGGTGGAGCCAAAGCAAAAACAACACCCAGCTGTGGATATGACTGGTGAGGGAAGTAAAGTCTGATGCTGTAAAGAGCAATATTGCATAGGAACCTGGAATGCTAGGTCCATGAATCAAGGCAAATTAGAAGTGGTCAAACAAGAGATGGCAAGAGTGAACATTGACATTTTTGAAATCAGCAAACTAAAATGGACTGGAATGGGTGAATTTAACTCAGATGACCATTATATCTACTACTGTGGGCAAGAATCCCTTAGAAGAAATGGAGTAGCCTTCATGGTCAACAAGAGAGTCCAGAATGCAGTACTTGGATGCAATCCCCAAAACGACAGAATGATCTCTGTTCATTTCCAAGGCAAACCATTCAATGTCACAGTATCCAAGCCTATGCCCTGACCAGTAATGCTGAAGAAGCTGAAGTTGAACAGTTCTATGAAGACCTACAAGACCTTCTAGAACTAACACCCCAAAAAGATGTCCTTTTCATTATAGGGGACTGGAATGCAAAAGGAGGAAGTCAAGAAACACCTGGAATAACAGGCAAATTTGGCCTTGGAGTACAGATTGAAGCAGGGCAAAGGCTCATAGAGTTCTGCCAAGGGAAAGCACTGGTCTAAGCAAACACCCTCTTCCAACAACACAAGAGAAGACTCTACACATGGACATCATCATATGGTCAACACTGAAATCAGACTGATTATATTCTTTGCAGCCAAAGATGGAGAAGCTCTATACAGTCAGCAAAAACAAGACCGGGAGCTGACCGTGGCTCAGATTATGAACTCCTTATTGCCAAATTCAGGCTTAAACTGAAGAAAGTAGGGAAAACCACTAGACCATTCGGGTATGATCTAAATCAAATCCCTTATGACTATACAGTGGAAGTGACAAATAGATTCAAGGGATTAGATCTGATAGACAGAGAGCCTGAAGAACTATGGATGAAGGTTTGTGACACTGCACAAGAGGCAGGGATCAAGACCATTCCCAGGAAAAAGAAATTCAAAAAGGCAAAATGGCTGTCTGAGGAGGCCTTACAGATAGCTGCAAAAAGAAGAGAAGTGAAAAGCAAATGAGAAAAATAAAGATACAGCCATTTGAATACAGAGTTCCAAAGAATAGCAAGGAGAGACAACAAAGCCTTCCTCAGTGATCAATGCAAAGAAATAGAGGAAAACAATAGAATGCGAAAGACTAGAGATCTCGTCGAGAAAACTAGAGATACCAAGGGAACATTTCAAGCAAAGATGGGCTCAATAAAGGACAGAAATGGTATGGACCTAACAGAAGCAGAAGCTATTAAGAAGAGGTGGCAAGAATACACAGAATAACTATAGAAAAAAGATCTTCATGACCCAGATAATCACAGTGGGGTGATCACTCACCTAGAGCCAGACATTCTGGAGTGCAAAGTCAAGTGGGCCTTAGAAGGCATCACTATGAACAAAGCTAGTGGAAGTGATGGAATTCCAGTTGAGCTATTTCAAACCCTGAAAGATGATGCTGTGAAAGTGCTGCACTCAATATGCCAGCAAATTTGGAAAACTCAGCAGTGGCCACAGGACTGGGAAAGGTCAGTTTTCATTCCAATCCCAAAGAAAGGCAACAGCAAAGAATTCTCAAACGACTACCCAATTGCACTCATCTCACATGCTAGTAAAGTAATGCTCAAAATTCTCCAAGCCAGAATTCAGCAATACGTGAACTGTAAACACAGATGTTCACATTGTATTTAGAAAAGGCAGAGGAACCAGAGATCAAATTGCCAACATCCATTGGATCACTGAAAAAGCAAGAGAGTTCCAGAAAAACATCTACTTCTGCTTTATCGACTATGCCAAAGCCTTTGACTGTGTGGATCACAAACTGTGATCAAACTGTGGAAAATTCTGAAAGAGGTGGGAATACCAGACCACCTGACCTGCCTCCTGAGAAATGCGTATGCAGGTCAGGAAGCAACAGTTAGAACAGGACATGGAACAACAGACTGGTTCCAAATAGGAAAAGGAGTACGTCAAGGCTGTATATTGTCACCCTGCTTATTTAACTTCTATGCAGAGTACATCATGAGCAATGCCAGGCTAGATGAAGCACAAGCTGGAATCAAGATTTCTGGGAGAAATATCAATAACCTCAGATATGCAGATGACACCACCTTATGGCAGAAAGTGAAGAGGATCTAAAGAGCCTCTTGATGAAAGTGAAAGAGGAGAGTGAAAAAGTTGGCTAGTGAAAAAGTTGGCTTAAAGCACAACATTCAGAAAACTAAGATCATGGCATCTGGTCCCATCACCTCATGGCAAATAGATGGGTAAACAGTGGAAACAGAGACACACTTTATTGTTCTGGGCTTCAAAATCTGCAGACAATGACTGCAGCCATGAAATTCAAAGATGCTTACTCTTTGGAAGAAAAGTTATGACCAACCTAGACAGCATATTGAAAAGGAGAGACATTAATTTGCCAGCAAAGGTCCACCTAGTCAAAGCTATGGTTTTTCCAGTATTCATGTATGGATGTGAGAGTTGGACTATAAAGAAAGCTGAGCATCAGCACCAAAGAACTGATGCTTTTGAGCTGTGGTGTTGGAGGAGACTCCTGAGAGTCCCTTGAACTGCAAGCAGATCCAACCAGTCCATCCTAAAGGAGATCCATCCTGAGTATTCATTAGAAGGGCTGATGTTAAAGCTGAAACTCCAATACTTTGGCTACCTGATTTGAAAAACTGACTCATTGGAAAAACTCTGATGCAGGAGGAGAAGGGGACGACAGAGGATGAGATGGCTGGATGGCATCACCAACTCAATGGACATGAGTGTGAGTAAGCTCCAGGAGTTGGTGACAGACAAGGAGGCCTGGCGTGCGACAGTCCATGCGGTTGCAAAAGGTCAGACACGACTGGGTGACTGAACTGAACTGAACTGAACTGAGAAGGTGAGGAGTTAGCTGGACAGGTACCTGGGGGATGCTCGTTCAGGCACAGGTGTGATTAGGTGTGAGCCTGGAGGCAGGAACACACCTAGCATAAGGAGCAGCAAGAATCCCCTGAGGCTGGAGTCGGTTGGGGGAGGGATGGGCATCAGGAGATGCCAGCTGAGAATGTGGTGGGAGGCAGCAGAGGGCAAGGGTAAGATTGGAGGGGCTTCTAAACCATTTAAGGTCACACTGGTGTCTGTGTGTTTGTTGTTTTGCTGCACCAATAAATTTGTAAGATCTTAGCTCCCCAGTCAGGGTTTGAACCCACACCCTCCATAGAGAAAGCACGGAGTATGAACCACTGGACCTCCAGGAAATGCCCGCTGACCTTGGTTTTTGAATTAAGTGTGTACCACCAGCAGGATTTTGATTAGAGGAGTAATAAAGTGTGACTTGGGCATTATACAGATTTTTATAACCCCCTTGTTGAAAGTGCCATCATCCAGGCAAAATACGAGATGAGGCTGGCAGCACCGATGTTAGG